TCACCAAAGCCTCTCGCCATCCATGGCTTTCCTTACTTTAACATGGTATTCAGAGCCTAGTCCTAGGCGTTTCCGTTTTATCCGCATCTCTTAGAAAGTTTCTGGCCCTTAGGCCATTTCCGCGCTACTTAGCTAGACGATTTTCCTTTTTTTATTTTCTCGTTTCTTTACAGTCACTCTTAGTATCCTCGCGATTTTCTTCACTTTAGTCACGCGGATACTCAATTCCGCTCCGTAGCGCGCCTCCCTCCCGTTCATATCGCTCCTCCGCGCCTTCCCTCTTCGTCGCGCCTCTTCCTCTTCACGTTCCCGGTGGTAGCGCGCCGATTTCTGCTTGTAGCGCGCTTAGCCCCCCCCCCCCCCCCCCCCGGCTCCGCGCCTTCTCCCGTCTCGTCGCGTGCGCATTGTGCTGCCGTCGCAGCGCGCGCTTCGCTTCGTCGAGCAGCGCGCGCGCCTGCCTCCCCTGCGGCGCGCCCTGCCCTTTCACAATCCGCCCTCCCTCCCTTACCCTCCTCCTCCTTTCCTCTCTCCTTTGTGCATCCCTCACTATCTCACCCGTTTTCCTCCACCTCTTTTCTCTCCTCATCTGCTGCAGCTGGTGTTGATTGCGCTTTTTTTTAAGTTGGTACTCCTCCCCACCTTTCCTCCTCCTCACTACCCTCCCCTCAACTGCTCAACTGCGAACTCCCTCACAACTCTCCCTCCTCCTCTTATTTCTCCCTTCACCGGCCCAGCAGCAGACTACCTCGCCGCTATCCCTCCTCCTCTAGTTTCTCCCCTCAGCGGCGCAGCAGCAGACTACCTCGCCACTATCCCTCCTCCTCTAGTTTCTCCCCTCAGCGGCGCAGCAGCAGACTACTCCCCCACTATTCCTCCTCCTCTTGTTTCTCCCCTCAGCGGATCAGCAGCAGACTACTCCGTCCATATCCCTCCTCCTTACTACTTCGTGTCGTGTCCTGGCCTCTCAGGACGTCACTTTTGACGAGTCCGTCCCCTACTACCGCCTCTTCCCCTACCGCACTGCCCCGCTCCCCCCCCCGCCTCTCTTCCTCGCTCCAGGTGCTGAGGTACCAGACCCCCTCCCCCCTCAGGGTGCCGCTCCCTCAGGTGTGTCCCAGGTAGACCCGGGTGAGCCTGTCGAGGTAGCTGTTGACTCTCGTCCTGCTAGGGGTGCTGAGCCTGGGGGTGCTGCGTCTGGGGGTGCTGAGCCTGGAGGTGCTGCGTCTGGGGGTGCTGAGCCTGGGAGTGCTGAGTCTGGGGGTGCGGAGCCTGGGGGTGCTGAGCCAGGAGGTGCGGAGCCTGGAGGTGCGGAGCCTGGAGGTGCTGAGCCTGGGGGTGCTGAGTCTGGGGGTGCTGAGCCTGAGCGTGCTACACCTGGAGGAGCCCTCTCCTCCCAGCAGCTGCAGGAGAGGTACCTCGAGTACTGCCGCCTCCGGAGAGGTGCTGCTGGAGCTCGTCCCGGTACTTCCCCTCCTACCCAGGAGCTCCCCCCCATTCAGCAGATCCGCGAGTGGTACACACGGCGCTGCAGTCTTCGGAGTGGTGCTCCTGGTGCTGCGGACCCTGGGGGTGGCGCTGCTGCTGGTGCTGAGGACCCGGACGTGGGAGCTGCTGCTGGTGCTGCGGACCCGCCTGGTGGAGCTGCTGCTGGTGCTGAGGACTCGGACGTTGGAGCTGCTGCTGGAGCTGAGGACCCGGGCGGTGGCGCTGCTGCTGGTGCTGAGGACCCGGACGGTGGAGCTGCTGCTGGTGCTGAGGACTCGGACGGTGGAGCTGCTGCTGGAGCTGAGGACCCGAGCGGTGGCACTGCTGCTGCTGCTGAGGACCCGGACGTTGGAGCTACTACTGGTGCTGAGGACCCGGCCGGTGGAGCTGCTGCTGGTGCTGTGGACCCGGACGCTGGAGCTCCTACTGGTACTGAGGACCCGGCCGCTGGAGTCTCCTCTGCTTCCGGAGACGCTGTGCGGCCGCGACCGTACTTCGTACCGCTCCTTCAGCAGGTTCTTGGGCAGACTCCTCCTCCTTGTCCTCCTCCCTCCGTAGAGTGTCCTCCGCCTGTCCAGCCGCAGTCACAGTTACCACCTACCTCGCCTCTCCCTGCTCCCTCTCCTTACACTGGTCCCACAGGAGGTCTTACAGAGCGTCGTGAGCCTGAGTCTCGTCCTGCGTCGCCTGTTCGTCCTGCTCGCACTGGTAGTCGTGTCCGTCGTGAGCGTCCTCCTCCTGTCCCAGGCACTCACTACATGACTCTGCATCCCTCTACTGCTCCTCAGCGTGTCCCTCTACCGTCTCCTCCTGCTTCCTCTTTGCCTGACGTTCCGGACCCTGAGTCTGACCGGTATCGTGCTGAGCACCCTACTGTCACGCGTTTCCTTGCTACTGTTGTCACTGACCCTACCTTTGAGTCCTCTGCTGCGTCTGCTCTGGTCGCTGAGTTGGTTGACTTTGCTGCTGCCTGTCGTCTAGACTACGCTGCTAGCCTTGTTGCTGAGTCTGAGTCTGAGTCTGTCTGTCCTCCGTCCGTCGGGGGTGAGTGTGCTCTTGGCACGGACGTCCTTGAGGACAGACAGGAGGAGTTCCAGTGTCTTGCTGCTGCTTTGCCCCGTCTCGTGTCCTTGCTAGTTGCCCCTGAGGGAGACCCGGATGCACCAGACATCCCGACCCCGCGCACTTACGCTGAGGCGATGGCGGGTCCCTACTCCTCTCAGTGGCAGACAGCCATGGACGCCGAGATGGCTTCCTGGAAGTCCACACGCACCTACGTCGACGAGGTTCCCCCTCCTGGGGCGAACATCGTCAGTGGCATGTGGATTTTCAGGGTGAAGCGGCCGCCGGGTTCTCCGCCTGTCTTCAAGGCGCGTTACGTGGCTCGAGGCTTCAGTCAGCGAGAGGGAGTTGACTTCTTCCAGACCTTCTCCCCCACCCCGAAGATGACCACTCTTCGGGTGCTGCTGCACATAGCCGCTCAGCGCGACTATGAGCTTCACTCACTTGACTTCAGCACTGCTTTCTTGCAGGGCAGCCTGCACGAGGAGATCTGGCTGCGCCGCCCACCTGGCTTCACTGGGTCGTTTCCTCCTGGTACCCAGTGGAGGCTTCAGCGGCCGGTCTACGGTCTCCGCCAGGCTCCGCGTGAGTGGCACGACACACTGAGGACTACACTTGCGGCTCTTGGGTTCGCGCCTTCTACAGCTGACCCGTCGCTGTTCCTGCGCACCGACACTTCGCTGCCGCCGTTCTACATCCTCGTGTACGTCGACGACTTGGTCTTTGCCACTGCTGACACTGCAGGACTCGCCTACGTGAAGTCGGAGCTGCAGAGGAGACACACGTGCACAGACCTGGGTGAGCTGACAAGCTATCTTGGCTTGCGGATCACCCGGGACAGAGCACGGCGCACCATCACCCTGACTCAGTCACACATGGTGCAGCAAGTTCTCCAGCGCTTCCGCTTCACGTACTCCTCGCCTCAGTCCACTCCTCTGCCTACCGGTCACTCGCTCTCAGCTCTGCCTTCGGACGAGTCCGTAGAGCCGAGTGGCCCGTATCCAGAGCTTGTGGGCTGCCTCATATACCTGATGACCTGCACTCGACCTGACCTTGCATACCCTCTTAGCATCCTTGCACGCTATGTCGCTCCTGGCCGTCACAGGAAGGAGCACATGGATGCTGCTAAGAGGGTGTTGCGCTACTTGTGCAGTACGTCGGGCATGGGGCTTGTGCTTGGAGGGCGAGACCGAGTTGTTCTCACAGGGCACTCAGACGCTTCTTGGGCAGACGACCAGGCCACTCAGCGGTCGTCTCAGGGTTACACCTTCAGCCTTGGCTCTGGCTCAGTTTCTTGGCGCTCTACACGCTCTTCTTCTGTTCTCGGCTCCAGTTGCGAGGCTGAGATCTACGCTACAGCCATGGCTGCCCAGGAGCTACGCTGGCTGACCTACCTGCTGACCGACCTCGGAGAGCGGCCTCGTTCTCCTCCAGTACTGTACGTCGACAACAAGGCTGCCATTGCCTTGTGTGAGGAGCACAGACTGGAGCACAGAACGAAGCACATCGCCCTGCGGTACTTCCTTGCTCGTGAGCTGCAGCAGCGCGGTCAGCTTTGTATTCGCTACGTGGCCACTGAGGCCAACACTGCTGATGTGTTCACCAAGGCACTTCAGCCTCGTGACCATCAGCGCTTCTGCACTCTACTAGGCCTTGTGCCTACTGGACCTCACTTACTTACCTCTTGACTTTGCTTGTACTGTGATTACTATATATATCTATACCTGCATGTTTACTCTTGCTAGGTTGTGATCACTGTATCTCTTGCTCTGTTATAAACCTGCATGTGAACTGGTCTTGTGACCACTAGCTTGTGCTCGGAATTTGTGTGGAATCCTTGAGATCCACCCTGAGCTTGTTGTTGCCTTGCTTTGCCTTGACTGGTCTTGTGACCCCTAGGTCTCCCCCACTTTGCCTATGGGGGTGTGTCAAACATTATACATGTTGTATTTGTGTAGGCTGTAGTGGGTTAGCCTATAGGGGGGTCACAACATTAGGGTTTCATATTTGTACTCACAATCCTTTCTAGTTCACCATTCCAGTCCGTTATTACTGACACTTTCATGTAACGGTGGGAGAAACAGCTCGTGTGAAAGGAACACGAAACGAAGATGAACGACGCACTTGGATCCTGGACACTGGAGCCGCTTGGTCAATGACACCATGTGCGGAGCTGCTGGAAAGTATTGGTACAACACCCATCTCGGAATTTAAGTCCGGATCCGGGCATGCAATGAGGGTGATGGGTGCAGGAAGGGCGGCATTCTTGGGAGCTGACGGGAAGCCGATTGTGATTGAGAAAGTATTGTTTGTACCAGAAATGACAGCGAGCTTGATATCGCTGAGGAACTTGGCGGTCACCGGAGTGAACACCGAAAGCAAAGCTGGGCGCTTCAAAGGAAGGTTCGGAAACAAAATACTTTGGGACCTGCGTGATGAGTGGAACTCGGAAGATGAGCTGTGGCGAGTGCCCGCTGTGTCATGGGAGAAGGTTACAGCACAAACTGCCAAGAAGGATCTTTGAGGGGGAGTCAATGACAGTCAGCATGGATGAGATCAACGAGCTGAAGCAGATAGGATTGCATCTGGTCGAGCAGCTGAAGGTCATCGCCTCGCGTTTGAAGAAAACCAAGGCTAAGGGAAGAGTTGCATCCAGAGGGAATAAGGCTACCGCCAAGTCGAAGGTGTGCGTAGTTGTGCCATTGCTGCAGTTGTGTGAAGCTGAGGATCAAGGCAAGAAGGCCAGTGATGCAGTTTCTGCGGGTCAAGTGCAAAACAGCAAGAAAACAGGCAACACAGGGATGAAAGTTGCTGATTGGTATGGTCTTCACGAGAGCAATGGACTGCTCAAGACAACCACAACCAAGGGTGCAGAAACCTCTAAGGACGAGATGAAGCTGAATGGAACTGTTGTCAAGGAGCGGATCCACAGTCGTTTGGGGCAAGAAGAAACTGTCCGTGGAAATGTTCGCGTTGTTGGCAAGGATGACACAGGAAAGGCGAGTGGCACGATCCAAGCCATGGGGAACCAAGATGCATCGGCATTGATCACTGTATTCAAGGAGCTGGTGCAGTGGGTGCAAGAAATGGTGGGAGGTATTGTTGGACTTGTAGCGCCGACGAAGGAGGAACGAGGGAAGCAGTAATACTCCTAAGCTTCAGTCAAGTGAAAGCGATGCACCACAGGGTGTGACAGCAACAACGGGTTTCAGAGATGCTCGACGTGGGATGAAGCTGAAAGGGGTTATCTATTGGCAGAAGCTGACTTGCTAAAGGAGGGAAGTGAGGGATCGGTGAAGCAGCAATGATTATCGGGTCGACAGCGAAGGAAATAGAAGAAGCCTGTGCGGGAAGCAGTGGTTGACAGACAAGACAGTTCAGGAGCTATTACCAGATTGGGGAAACGAACACGTAAGCAGGAGAGGGTGCGTGGAGTAAAATCGCCAGATTCAAGGGGAGTTTTTGTTGGTTACAGAAATAATTTTCTGTAATTCAATCAGCTGATTTCACTTTATACGGGGCGTGCAAGAATATTTCGCTTGGAGCTGAAGCGGAAACGGGTTTCCTACTCTTGAGAAGAAGTCAACTGAGGTCGCGACCAATGGGAGCAAGGCGCGGATAAAAACGTGGTGTTCTGAGTTGGAGGGGCGAAATGAACATTGACCAATGGGAGGGGGTGCTGGTCAAAATGGAAGTTTGACTTTGAGCTGATCGAGATGAGCGAGAAGGTGTTCGTGCTGCGTTATTGATTCTGCAGCCATGATTGGTCGCTGCTCAGAGCAGCATGTTCATCTTGCTAATGCGCGAAAGGCTGTTCGCGCCACGTGGTAAATAACGGGATTGTTACCCGTTCGCGACTCGCTTATTAGCGCTGATGGCGAGGTCGGCAAGATTTTGAGTGAGTTCCGAACGCATGCTTTGAGCGGCACTGACAGTTCGGATCAACAGTGTGTTCGGAACAAGAGCACGTGGCGAGCAACAGTTGAATGATCGAAGGCTCTGCTGATCGCCACCGACATTTCAACTCGTTCAGTTTTTCAACGGACTTCATCACAATCGTTCACAAATGGCGCGAAGTGAAATGTTCTAATCGCTGCCGTCGGAAAGGTTCGCGCGAGAACTTTGAGATATTTCGACAAGGAGCCGCGAACCCGCTAGATGACGAATTACAGGGGCGGGAAGTTCAAAACATGTTCGCACTACGACAAACGGAGTTACAGTGGATAGAAGTAGAATAAAGTAGATAGAGTGGACTTAGTATAAATATGATTGCACTTGCTTGTTTGAAACATAACTTGAGTAAAGGATTTCTCCTGTGCCTGCTGCAAGTACGCTGCTATAGTTAATACTCTTGACAACGTCAACGAAGCGACGACTGCTGCTACACTTTAGTTGTTGCTACGACTCTCTCTCTACACACTCGGACCCTTGGATAGGGGCTGACCTCGGTCAGGCACCCAAGGACCCTCGGAGGTGACCCCGAGGAGAGAGTTCTAGTGCCACCTAAAGCTCATTAGTAGCTAGCATAGTACGTTTTAAGACTAACAAGTTTTAGTGTCAACTGAAGGTTGCTAGTAGCCAGTTTAGTACGCATCTCGAAGCTGCTCGTCCGAGGCTACCAGAGGCGTTCGATCCGAGCGCGAAGGGAACTGATGCTAGGAGTTTCATCGCTATACTAAAAAATTGTTGCGAGGCCGTTGGATGCACGACCCCGACACACGACACAACGCGGATTTGGCTCCCAACGAGGCCCAACATTGGAGTGGATCTATAGTAGTAGCAAAATCCGAGGCAAAGGATCGTGGGCGTAGTTTTGGACAGCCCTCATCAAACGTTTCGAACCCATCAACAATTCATACATGGCGCGGCAGCAGATACATCAACATCGACAATTTGGTAGTGTAGCACAATACACGCAGCAGATGAGAAATCTCTTTTGTTATAGACTAAGGACGGAGTCTATGACGTTTAGGTGCCGAAATGTCTCAAAATCGTTGGTCTTTATTTCTGGACAGAAACCGCGACTTCACAAGAAACGTCGTCGACAAAATTTGCATCGTTAGAATCTCACAAAACTCGAGTATGTTGTAGCCCTAGACCGTGGCTACAATTCCCAATTTGAATCACATCAAATGATGGAGTATATCTCGAGTTATCAATTTCGGCGCACTAGGGGAATACTGCTACTGAAAATTAGGACGTGGGCCCAATCGACTTTGATCGGCGCGATCAGAGGCGATCAAAAACTTCGAGGAAGGCGGGAAGCAGATTTCAGGCAATCGGGGGCAATCAGCTGATCGCGATCAGCTGATCGCGACAGCTCGATCAACCGCCTCAAACAGCCCGATCAGACCCGATCAGACACAATCAGACCCAATCACTTGATTGCATGTGATCGGGGACCTGGGCGACGTACACGAAATGTAACTCGCCTCGCCATGAGGTCTCGAAAATCTTTACGAATACACACAAAGTGGTTCAAAGGTTCTGGAGCGGACCCTGTACTGTGCGAGCGATGTTGGCGACATTACCACGATACTGAGATTCGTCAGTCTCGCCAAAGTTGGCCTGCAACTACCAGGTAATGGGCCGACAGTTCTCGTGCAAGAGCGCCAAACATTCGAGGAAAATCATCTCTGATCGGGCGGCACGGGAAAAACGATCACAAGCAATCCGATCCGACCCGACCCGATCCGATCAGAGCCGATCAAAGTCGATTGGGCCCACGTCCTTAACTCAATCACAATTGTTCAGAAGTTCTCACAGTAACACAAAGAAGATTAGAGTACCAAGAAACCAGGTAGGAGGGGAGAGGAGGACGAGAGGGAAGGTCCCAAGGGAGTCCCCAACCAAGGAAACCCCATGCCACTCATTTTCCCTCTCAATAGGCAACCCAACTTTCACCCTTGTCATTTTCCCAACCTCCACAATCCACCTCACTCCAACTTGGCCACACTTGCCAACCTGGTTTGGCTTCACCCAACCACATGGCAGTGCCTACAGTGATGGGGACGAATTTCCCAACCCCCAAAAGTCTGTACCCCATATAAAGTCAACCCAACAAGTTCCCATAGTCGCCGCAACCAAAGTACAGAAAGCATACGAACTCCAACGTTCGAAACTTTCTTGTTCTTGCTCCGATTGCGACGATTCTTGGCTCGTCGGAAAGCTCTTGAGCAGAGCAGTCACTTCAAATATCTGCTCAAGCCAAATAACATTCACACATACTCAGAGAAACCAAACCGCGCAAAACACAAATTCTTGCACACGCTCACACCACGCATGCAACACAGGAACACATGATGAGATGCAGACAGACGTGAATGCATATGGTTGCATCACACAACACTCTTTAACCTCATTAATGACTCAACGGAAGGAGAAAAAAATCTAGACATGTCATTGCTGTGAATTACAGTAGCTACAGGGAAATGGTCTGCACAGCCAAACAGTTCAACGCATTGACCAAGGGACAACACGATGCAACAGGCCGAATAGGAATTTCGGCATGGAGCGATCGGCACCCCCCATGATCGCCGATCCGAGGGATATCGACAAGGTCGACACAAAGCAGCGGCCGGCAAAAATTGAAACGTGTGAATTTTGTGGTGCAGCACGGCATCAAATCTTGGCATGTTGGAGAATGAAAAAAGCATGTGTTGAACTTTAGGGCAAGAACAGTGCAGCACCCCCGAAGTAGAAAACGCCAGTACCTAGGGTGGATGTCGACATGATGGTATCCGGATTTGAGGTCGATTGTAAATAACCAATCACCTTTCTGAACGAGATCAGGAATACGATTCAATCATTCGTAGCGAAATTTCGATGTGCATAGAAAGGTGTTCACATGCCTTAGGTCTAGGATGAGCCGCTTCTTAGTCGGTTGTACGACTACGTTTAGCGGACTGGAGCATGTATTATGAGCTCGGGATGAAACTATACGTGCCGCGCCTGTGGCTACAAGCTCCACAATTGCCTCTGTAACAAAGTCGGTATGCTGAGCCACGCCCGGGTGGTTGGATGCACGGCGAGGTGTAGGCTCGTGGTTCAACCATGGCAATTGATAGCCATGTGAGATGACGGAAAGTATAAAGCTACTGTCGCACCACGCGGACCACCAGGTGAAGCATCCGCGTAACCGACCGCGCATATGAGAGGTTGTTGGATATGGAAGCGCGGGACGGTGTAGAGCGCCTGGAAGGGGGGTTGTCCATATTTACTTTGAATCAGAATTTGTGTACCAAAATGATGTCCCTATTTGGCAAGGCGGAAAACAAATAGCAAGCCTCTTGGCAATAATCGTCATGAGTGTCATATTTTAAGCCATTGAAAATGCCCAATTTCAACATATAAAAAATCTCAAGTTCCAAAGATGCAAAGACAATCAATTAAACGATGTGCGCAAGCTGATTCGCCCCTTGCTCACGCTGGGGGCATTGGGCAAAGCCGTGGCCAGGTTCGCGGCAAATGAAGCAACGGCCATCCCCGTCGCGGCGCCACTTGTTCCAAGAACGATCGCCATTGCCCCTACAGCGGTTATTCTGGTCGAACCGCTGGGGAAAGGATGGGTTGCGAGTGGGGCGGCTCTTTTTCATCGCCGCCACAATTTGAGCGGCGGATTTCACCGTCTTGTCCTCGACGACTTCCCCATATTTAATCTTTAGGGCCACATTGGCCACGTCAAAACCGCGTTGATCAGCGGTAAATAGAAACATAATCTTTTCCTCGGCCTCTTGTTCAATCTCTTTTATATAGAGAGCCGCTTGTTCACTACCCTCGGAGGGTAAAACGCTCAACGCATGGCGAGCGATAATTTGACTCTGTTCGAAACCAAACATTTGGGTACGAACCCCATCGCTCTTGACGAGTGCTGACCGCAACTGGGGACGTGCTGGGGGAATCGGAATGAGGGCCGACGATGCGTGCGGAGGAAGAGCGTGAGGAGGAAGGGCGTGTGGGAGAGAGCGAGGGCCATTACCTTCCTCAAAAATGCCTTGCTCGCCATCGTCCTCGTCCGCGGCCGCCTCGGGAGCCTCTACATGGCGAGATGCTGGGCGGGGATTTTCTGGAGCGGCTGGCCTTCCGCCGGCGGGATTGCGCTGAAGCAACGCTAACAGCTCGGACATGTGATGAAGTGCATCGACGTTCGGCGGCGGATTATTGATGTGTCGGTCTTCCATATGGTCGCTCCGCGAAGGTGTAGCACGAATGTTCCTTGGCGCTGGCGAAACGGGGCGCTCCACAACGCGTCGGGCGGAATTTCCAGAAAGTTGCGCGAGGATCTGGAGTAGATTCGCCTGGGTAGTAGCGTCCAATCCATCCGGGCCCTGTTGGGTCGAAACCCACCAGGGCCCCCTCCTGGTGGAACCGGGTTCCCACCAGGGCCGCACGCGGATGCAAGGCCTGTCGCGGCCCCCAGCTGGCCGCTGCACGCGAGCGGGAGTGCCCCGCCCGGCTGCAAGTCCCTGGTGAGATTCGGGCGGCGGGGTCAGCTGGCGGGGTGGTCTCGAGCCGAGCCCGGGACACGCCAGCGCCACGCAGTGTGGTCCCAACCCCTTGCCCCCCCCTGGCCCAGCCCTGGTTCGCGAAACCCCTCGCGGTCCAATCCGAGGTCGAGGGCCGAACCATCAGCGCGCCGAAACAGAACCCGCCAATCGGAGCCGTTCCTGAGTGTTTTGTGAATCGGAGAACCCTCGCGAAGCATTTCACATGCGAATCCGCGCGTGCGAACGGAAATTCGGGCTGGCCGAAACGGAATCGGCCAATGGGAGCCGGTCTTCGAGCGACGGGCGAATCGGCGCCAAAACCACTCGTGCAAAACCATCTCCGTGCTCCCCGAAAAAAGAGTCGGCCAATCGAGAAGCGTGTTGGGCGTCAGAATGATCACACGACCCTCGCGAACGATCATTCGCGAAAAGCATGGTGAGCTTAAAATTAACCCCACTTGGAAAAAAATAAACGGAATAATTTTTAGAGCATCAGGCAAATAAACACTGACGAGTTTACATGTAATATAACAAAGTGTAGTGTAAAATCGGTTCAGTGACCAAAATCGTTTACAATAATGTTGGTGTACTGGATTTTTGTCGGACGCGACGAGGGAAATTCACTACCGCGAGAGTTGGTAACCCGCTCCGAACGGGGCTCGCGGATGGAGTGCAACGTGGCGGACGTGGGCTGCTCAAGCGTGCATGATGCGGGACGTCCCCCCCTTGTCAAGTCGAAAGTGGCGCGGGTTCGGTGGCCCGCGCAGTCCTGACCGCGAGTGCCGTTTCTAGATTCCCCCTCGGCCCCCTCATAGGTTCTCGCTAGGGGCAATTGGTGCTCATTTTCGTTCTCCGTCTTCAACATCCTGTTTTCATCCTTTCAACCTAGCATTGTTCATCGCCTAGTCCTAGCAGAAAATCATTCTGGCCGCGTTCGCGCATGGTCGCGTTCTGATTAGCACTTATTTGCTGTCGCGAGCACAAACTCGCGTCCCGTTCCTCCTAGATCCCCCGTACCTGTGGTCGCGCTCTTGAGGTGGTACCAGTAATGAACCGCGAAATGAAGGCGCTTAGAGCTGGGTCGAAGGAGGCCGCCTCCTGTCCGGCTATCATATCTGTTGCGGGAGCCAACGTGGACCTTGCCCCCGAGCAGTGGAAGCTGCTCGCTGATGATAAGCATCCACTCACAGCTCGTATGTTCGACTTTGTCACTGGGTGAGTTCCATGCGTACCATTCCCTGATTCCAGGGTGCACGCGTTGTTGTATGCAGTATTTACGAATGGGAAGCGCAGGTCACGTCGTACCCCCGCGGCGCTTTTAGGTCGCGTTGTTTGTGGTCGTGCTTTTCCCCGCGGTGTTTTACCTCTTCCCGCACTGCGTGATTGTCCGGAGGTTTCTGGAGAAGGAAGTGCATGAGCACGCCCGAATCGTGACGAGCGATGTTGTCGCGGACATCGTCGCGGGTCGCGACGAGGCGGTCCAAGCCTTTGCCGGTGTGATGGAGTGCAGCCTGGTTGCTTTCTGCATCTGGTCCGAGTGAGTGCTCACTGGGGGTGTTCATTTGTGCAGGGCTTGCACTCGATTACATTGGTTAACGCGGTCGTCATTGGCACGTGCAGGAATTTGAGCGACAAGAAGTGCTCGAACGCAAGCATGCTCATTATGCTTCACCCCGACCACCTGTCGCTAGACGGAGACGAGCCTTGGAACACGCGGTTCGTTCGCGTTGCGATCCCCACAGGTGGTGCGGAACACTTCATCGCGGCAGAGGCGATTGTGGAGTGAGTACCGCGTACAGGTTTATCATCATTTTCACGTTCATTTCCCCTCTATGTCTCACGTCGCTAACCGCGCGTTTGAGTGGCTATGTCTGTGCAATTGGGCAGGTGGTTTCAGGGCCGCGTTGACGAGGATTTCGCGCACGGCTCCATACAGTGCACCCGGTCCCGCCAGCTTAAGGAACCCTCGCGGTTGTACGATCTGGTATGTCTTGTGTTCGTGTCATCGATGCCCGCGAATAATTGCAACCGTGCTAACAAGTCTAATGTTATGTTGTTTCAGGACGCAACGTCTTTGAAGGGCTTCTGCGGCACCCTCGCTTGTCTGTTCGCGTTCGACAAGATCCTTGCACAGATGAACGCGGTCGCTGCCAATGGATCCGGGCCGCAATTCTCGAGGCCTACCGCGAAGACCCTGAGTGGACTACGGCATGAGGCTTACCAAACAGCCGAAGAGCTCGCGTTCAAACTGAGCGTGGATTTGACGCGACCCAAGCACGGCGGTGAGGATGACGGGGCTGAAACGGGGAAGGTGCAGAAAGTGGAAACGGGTGCGCGGGTTGCTTACCATGGTGTTCTCGCTCTCACAGGTGCCGCTGGTGTATCAAACCGCGGAGGTGCACGCGGGGGAACGGTGGTCCACGCTGATGACGAAGGGGCAGAGGACACCGCGACTAAGGGTGCACCCCGCGATGAGGCTGACCGCACTGTAGCAGGTGAGGGTGAGGAGTCGAGCGAGGAGGAGGCGGAGGCTCACGTGGTCGCGGTCGCGGCAGCCAGCAGGCCCGCTACATCCGGCAAGAGCATCAAGCACCTCGCGCAGCACTTGGCCCCCGGTGCTGGAAGCGCTGGCCCGAGTGGTGAGGTCGCGGGCAAGAGTCCCGTGACATGTGCGCGTGATCACACCTCCCTGTCCGCGTTGCCGTCGCATAGGCTTGCAGCCGAGATCCTGCAGCTCGACTGCAGGATTGCAGTGCAGGCGGAAGAGATTGCACGGCTGAAGAAACGCCAGGAGTCGGGGGTTGGGGGGGTCGCGGTCGTGGGCTCCGAGGAGCTCGCGTCCGCGCTTTCTAATGCGGTTCGGGTGTTTGAGAAGGAGGCGAGGGCGCTCGCGCAGGAAAGGGCGGCCCTGCTTGACACGCGTAACCAGGAGGCGTTGGTGCTGGGGCGAGTGGACGCGAGGTTGGGACAGTTGCAGGGGGTGGTGACAGACTCCATGGAAACCGCTCAGAAGAAGCTGACGGACGAGGTTGCGCGGAAGATCGACAACATGTCGACCGCGGTTTCCACGACAGCAGAGCGGGCAATCACAACCAGCGGGGTCACTTACGCGCTGCACACCCTCATCGCGCTCGTCGGAGGGAGCCCGCCTCCGCGCACGGGTACGGATACCATGTTAGAATCTTAGAATAGAACGAGAATGAATGGCATTGAGCAGCATGAGGAGTACAAGTACCAAACCCTAGAATGTTGTACCCCATATAAGCTACCCCACTACAGCCTACACAGACTATAGTGTATGAGTTTGACACACCCCCATAGGCAAAGTGGGGGAGAACAAGGGGTCACAAGACCAGTCAAGCAAAGCAAGGCAAAGCAAGCTCAGGGTGGATCACAACGTCACCACACAGTCTGAGCACAAGTTCAAGGCCACAAGGCCAGTTCACATGCAAGGGTACATATATATAACGCTAAACAAGCAAGGGCAGGTATATATATGTAACAGTACAAGCAAGGTCAAGAAGTAAGCAAGTGAGGCAAGGTAGGCACAAGACCTAACAGAGTACAGAAGCGCTGATGATCACAAGGCGCGAGTGCCTTGGTGAAGATATCAGCAGTGTTGGCCTCAAAGGCCACGTAAGCAAGGCGCAGCTGACCACGCTGCTGCAGCTCACGAGCAAGGAAGTAGCGGAGAGCGATGTGCTTCGTTCTGTGCTCCAGTCTGTGCTCCCGACACAAGGCCAGCATGGCCTTGTTGTCTACGTACAGCACTGGAGGAGAACGAGGCGGCTCTCCCAGGTCAGTCAGCAGGTAGGTGAGCCAGCGTAACTCCTGTGCAGCCATGGCCCCTGCGTAGATCTCAGCCTCACAGCTGGAGCCGAGAACAGAAGACGAGCGGGTAGACCGCCACGAAACAGAGCCGGAGCCAAGGCTGAAGGTGTAACCCTGTGACGACCGCTGCGTAGCCTGGTCGTCAGCCCAAGAAGCGTCTGCGTGACCAGTGAGGACCACTGAACTATGCCCTCCAAGCACAAGCCCCATGCCCGACGTACTGCACAAGTAGCGCAACACCCTCTTCGCTGCAGCCATGTGCTCTGGTCTGTGTCTCCCAGGAGCAACATAGCGTGCCAGAATGCTAAGAGGGTATGCAATGTCAGGTCGAGTGCAGGTCATCAGGTACATGAGGCAGCCGACAAGCTCTGGGTACGGGCCACTCGACTCTACGGACTCATCCGAAGGCAGAGCTGAGAGCGAGTGGCGTGTAGGCAGAGGAGTGGCCTGAGGCGAGGAGTACGTGAAGCCGAAGCGCTGAAGGACCTGCTGCACCATGTGTGACTGAGTCAGAGTAATGGTGCGCTGTGCTCTGTCCCGGGTGATCTGCAAGCCAAGGTAGCTGCGCAGTTCACCCAGGTCTGTGCACGTGTGTCTCTTCTGCAGCTCGGACTTCACGTAGGCAAGTCCAGCAGTGTCAGCTGTAGCAAAGACCAAGTCGTCGACGTACACGAGGATGTAGAACGGCGGCAAGGAAGAGTCGGTGCGCAGAAACAGCGACGGGTCGGCAGTAGAAGGAGCAAACCCAAGAGCCGCAAGTGTAGTCCTCAGTGTGTCGTGCCACTCACGAGGCGCCTGGCGGAGACCGTAGACTGGCCGCCGGAGGCTCCACTGGGTGCCAGGAGGAAAATTCCCAGTGAAGCCAGGTGGGCGGCGCAGCCAGATCTCCTCGTGCAGGCTGCCCTGCAAGAAAGCAGTGCTGAAGTCAAGAGAGTGCAGCTCGTAGTCTCGGTGAGCGGCTATGTGCAGCAGTACCCGAAGAGTGGTCATCTTCGGGGTGGGAGAGAAGGTCTGAAAGTAGTCAACTCCCTGCCGCTGACTGAAGCCACGAGCCACGTAACGCGCCTTGAAGACAGGTGGAGAACCCGGCGGCCGCTTCACCCTGAAAATCCACATGCCACTGACGATGTTCGCCCCAGGCGGGGGAACCTCGTCAACGTAGGTGCCTGTGGACTTCCAGGAAGCCATCTCTGCATCCATGGCTGCCTGCCACTGAGAGGAGTAGGGACCCTCTATCGCCTCCGCGTAAGAGCGCGGAGTCGGGATGTCAAGTGCATCCGGGTCTCCCTCAGGGGCAAGCAGCATGGACACGAGATGAGGTGAAGCAGTTGCCAAGCACTGGAACTCCTCCTGCCTGTCCTCAAGGACGTCCGTGCCAAGAGCACACTCACCCCCGACGGACGGAGGACAGACAGACTCAGACTCAGCGACGAGACTGGCAGCGTAGTCCAGGCGACAGCGAGCAGCGAAGTCGACAAGCTCAGCAACCAGAGCAGACGCAGCAGTAGACTCAAAGGAAGGGTCAGTGACGACAGTAGCAAGGAGACGCGTGACAGTAGGACGCGCAGCACGAAGGGAGTCCGACTCAGGGTCAGGAAGGTCAGGAAGAGAGGACGCGGGAGGAGAAGGCAAAGGGGCACGCAGAGGAGCAGTGGAAGGACGCAGAGACATCCGGTGCGTGCCGGGGACAGGGGGAGGACGCTGACGTGAACCACGACCACTAGTGCGAGCAGCGCGGACAGGCGACGCAGGGCGAGACGCAGGCTCACGACGCTCAGCAAGACCTCCAGTAGGACCAGTGTAGGGAGAAGGAGAAGGAAGCGGGAAGGCCGGCGGTAACTGCGACTCGGACTGGACAGGAGGCGGACACGCTAAGGGAGGAGCAGGACCAAGAGAGGACGGAAGACCAAGAACCTGCTCAAGGAGCGGAACGAAGTACGGCCGTGGCCGCGCAGCTCCACCAGTGCCAGCAGGAACAGCACCAGTACCCCCAACGGGAGCACCAGCACCAAGAGGACCCCCAGCTCCAGCAGCGCCAACTCCAGCACCCTCAGCAGCACCAGCGCCAGCAGCACCTCCAGCGCCAACACCCCCAGTAGCCCCAGCTCCAGTCGGACCACCCGAAGACGCAGCAGCTCCAACTCCAGGAGCACCAGCAGCACCAACGCCAGCAGCACCAGTAGCACCACCAGCTCCAGCAGGAGGAGCACCCGTAGGCCCAGCAGCTCCAGTACACCCTGTACGAGCACCTCTGGGACCCTCTGCACCAGCACCCTCAGCAGCAGCAGAACCTCCAGCGTCCGCAGCACCACCAGCTCCAGCAGCACGTCGCCAGCGCCGGGCGAACCACTCACGCAGCTCCTGTGGAGAGAGCAGCTCCCGCCGGGACGAAGCACCCGAAGAACCGCCAGGCTCAGCACCACCAGACGCCACACGAGCAGGCCCAGCACCCTCAGGCTCCGCACTCCGAGACACAGCACCCCCAGGCTCAGCACCCCCAGGCTCAGCACCCCCAGGCGCAGCACCCCCAGGCTCAGCACCCCCAGGCGCAGCACCCCCAAGCTCAACACCCCCAGGCGCAGTACCCCCAAGCTCAGCACCCCCAGTCGCAGCACCCCCAGACCCAGCACCCCCAGGCTCAGCACCACCAGCAGCACCAGAGTCAACAGCTACCTCGACAGGCTCAACTGCATCTACCTGGGACACACCTGAGGGAGCAGGACCTTGAGGGGGGAGGGGGTCTACCGGAGGGGGACCTGGCGTAAGGAAGAGCGGCGGGGGAGGGAGGGACGCAGTGCGGTAGGGGAAGAGACGGTAGTAGGGAACCGACTCGTCAAAGGTGACGTCCTGGGAGGACAGAACACGGCGCGAGGTGGGGTGGTAGAACTGCCAGCCTGGCGCGTCAAGGGGAAAGCCAAGGAAGACGCAGGGAACAGCACGAGAGGACAGCTTGTCCGCAGACAAGTCGCGGACAAACGCCCTAGATCCCCAGACACGGAACGCAGACGCATCGCCAGCCTTCCCCGTCCACAGCAAAGCAGGGGAGGTCTCCGGCATGGAGACCCGGGGGTGAAGGTTGATCTGATGCGCCGCGTACCGAACCGCAAACGGCCACAGAAAATGGGGAGCAGCCGCATGGATCATGGACGTACGAGCGATGTCCATAATCATGCCGATGCGGCGCTCAGCAATCCCATTCTGCTGCGGAGAGTCCGGAAGCGTGAAGGTCTGGCGGATGCCTCGTGCACGACAGAAGGCCCGCAGAAGGTCAGAGGAGAACTCTCCGCCTCTGTCGGAGTGCAGACGCCGAACAGGAAAGTCCGAGCCGAAACTCTCCTGGAGCTGGAGACGAGCTGCGCGGATCCAGGCGATCAACACCTCAGTGACCTCACCCTTGCTGCGCAAGGGGAAGACTGCGGTGTAACGCGAGTAGTCGTCAACCACCAACAGGAAGTAACGCTCGTGACCCTGTCCACGGACGCGGGCTGGGCCCCACACGTCCATGTGAAGCGTCTGCATGGGAGCCTCTGTCGGAGGAAACTCGGAGGAGTGAGGGGCAGCGCGCTGCCGCCCCTCGACGCAGGGAACGCAGGTAGGGGCAGGCCCCGGAGGAAGGGGAGGGAGGGACCGGGGGAGGCCAGAGACAAGAAGACGGGAAGCCATGCCTCGAAGACGAGGCAGGGAGGGGTGACCAAGGCGGTGGTGCCAAAGGAGAGTCCGGTGGGACAGGAGACGACACGAGCAGGGGGCAGACTCAGGACCAGACCTGGACGCCGCAGCAACCACCTGACCCGTCCCTGCTACCTGAGCAGACTCAGTGACTGGAGGAGACTCAGTAGTCAGTGTGTACAGGCTCGACCCCGGCCGACGGGTAAACGTGGCCAAGTGTCGGCCCGTGTCCGCACACGTGCAGTGGGTCACCCGCTGACGCGCAGGGGTGAACTGGTCAACTCCTGCATCCTGTAGGTCAGCACCCGCCACCAAGTTCGTAGAGAACGAGGGGAGGTAAAGACCCGACAGGGAGCCAGACGGGACCGCTGGACACGGTAGGACAGTGGAGTAGTGGGCAAGGACTGGACCCCCAGAGGGGTCTGCCAGGGAGACTGCAACAGGCCGACTGAGCGGCGTGAGAGTGGTGCAGTCTCGAAAGAAGGAGCGGGAAGCACCCGAGTCAAGGGTGAAGGTGTGGGTGTCCGGTGACGACGCAGCACCTGAGAGCGCAGACTCACCGGCACCTGGGGCGGCAGACGCACTGGCACCTAGAGCAGCAGCCTCACCAGCACCTGGGGTAGCAGCCGCACTAGCACCTAGAGCGGCAGCCTCACTCACAGGACACGGCAGCTGCACCTGGCCATCACCAGAAGCTCCCGACCGGCCCACTCCAGAGCGACTACCACTACGGCCACCCCGACAGCCCCAACTGGCGTACCACTCACGAAGCTGCTGGGGTGAAAGAGGACACGGCAGCTGCACCTGTCCACTACCAGAAGCTCCCGACCGACCCACTCCAGAGCGACTACCACTACGGCCACCCCGACAGCCCCAACTAGCGTACCACTCACGAAGCTGCTGGGGCGTGAGGGACTCACGCGCACGGCCCTGGAGCTGCATCTGGCCTCGCCAGGAGCAGCAGTAGCAGCAGTAGCGGCAGTAACAGCAGTAACAGCAGGAGCAGTAGCAGTGGGAGTAGAAAAGGCAGTAGCAGCAGTAGCAGTGCTGGCAGGGCAATGCTCACCAGTGGTCGGCGCGGCAGGCGCAAGACGGTGGCGACCGCGGGGCCGCTACAACTGCAGGGCGGGGCCGGGCCGCAGCAGGGAGCTCCGCGGCAGCTGCTGCAGGGCGAGGCCGGGCCGCGACGGCAGCTGCTCCAGGGGCGGCTGCTGCAGTGGCGAGCGGCTCCAGGGGCGGCTGCTGCAGTGGCGGGCGGCTCCAGGGGCGGCTGCTGCAGTGGCGAGCGGCTCCAGGGGCGGCTGCTGCAGTGGCGGGTGGCTCCAGGGGCTGCTGCTGCAGTGGCGGGCGGCTCCAGGGGCTGCTGCTGCAGTGGCGGGCGGCTCCAGGGGCTGCTGCTGCAGTGGCGGGCGGCTCCAGGGGCTGCTGCTGCAGTGGCGGGCGGCTCCAGGGGCGGCTGCTGCAGTGGCGGGCGGCTCCAGGGGCTGCTGCTGCAGTGGCGGGCGGCTCCAGGGGCTGCTGCTGCAGTTGCGGGCGGCTCCAGGGGCGGCTGCTGCAGTGGCGAGCGGCTCCAGGGGCGGCTGCTGCAGTGGCGGGCGGCTCCAGGGGCTGCTGCTGCAGTGGCGGCGGCTCCAGGGGCTGCTGCTGCAGTGGCGGGCGGCTCCAGGGGCTGCTGCTGCAGTGGCGGGCGGCTCCAGGGGCTGCTGCTGCAGTGGCGGGCGGCTCCAGGGGCGGCTGCTGCAGTGGCGGGCGGCTCCAGGGGCGGCTGCTGCAGTGGCGAGCGGCTCCAGGGGCGGCTGCTGCAGTGGCGGGCGGCTCCAGGGGCTGCTGCTGCAGTGGCGGGCGGCTCCAGGGGCTGCTGCTGCAGTGGCGGGCGGCTCCAGGGGCTGCTGCTGCAGTGGCGGGCGGCTCCAGGGGCGGCTGATGTAGTGGCAGGCGGCTCCAGGGGCTGCTACTGCAGTGGCGGGCGGCTCCAGGGGCGGCTCCACGGGCAGGTGGCGACGCCGCGGGCAGGGCGACGCGGCGGGCAGATGGCGACGCCGCGGGTAAGGTGACGCAGTGGGCAGGCGGCGACGCCGCGGGCAGGCGACGACGCCGCGGGCAGGCGACGACGCCGCAGGCAGGCGACGACGCCGCGGGCAGGCGACGACGCCGCTGGCAGGGGCTGCGTCGCGGGCAGTCGACGACTCCGCGGGCAGGCGACGGCGCCGCGGGCAGGCGACGACGCCGTGGGCAGGCGACGACGCCGCGGGCAGGGGCTGCGTCGCGGGCAGGCGACGACGCCGCGGGCAGGGGCTGCGTCGCGGGCACGCGACGACGCCGCGGGCAGGCGACGACGACGCCGCGGACAGGGCGACGCGGTGGGCGGCGAGAGCCTGCAGAGGCGGCGCGCGGTCGGGCAGAGGCTGCGCGCGGGCCTGACGGGTCTGCAGGGGCGGCTCTCGGGCGTGACGGGCCTGCAGAGGCGGCTCGGGGGGGGGGGGGGGGCCTGACGGGTCTGCAGAGGCGGCTCGGGGGCCTGACGGACCTGCAGGGGGCTCGAGGGCGCACAAGGGCGCACGAGGGCGTACGAGGGCGTACGAGGGCGCACGAAGGCGCACGAGGACGTACGAGGGCGCACGAGGGCGCACGAGGGCGCACGAGGGCGCACGAGGGCGCACGAAGGCGCACTAGCAGAGAAAGGCGCACGAGGGCGCACGTAGGGTAGGGCGCACGAGGGCGCTTCTAGCGGAATAGTGGGCCCATTGTAGAAAGCGGTCCTAGGTAGCAACCTAGGCCTCTGATACCATGTTAGAATCTTAGAATAGAACGAGAATGAATGGCATTGAGCAGCATGAGGAGTACAAGTACCAAACCCTAGAATGTTGTACCCCATATAAGCTACCCCACTACAGCCTACACAGACTATAGTGTATGAGTTTGACACGGAAGATCCACCCGCGACGGATAATGCAGAGCCCGGGGATGCTGAGCATAGAAAGCGGGCGGCGGGGTGCGAAGGCCGAGACTCAGCGGGGGGCGAAGAGGCAGAGGGGTCCTCAGGCAGCGGCCGCGGTGCGCATCCCGAGCGTGCAGGATATGATGAAGCAGAAGTGGGGCGCTGCATCGCGAGGCGCTGCACCGCCTGGTCAATCGGGGTCGAGCTCGCGCTCCATCCCACCTGGAGAAGCTGCACCCAAACCACCGGGCCCTGCCGGGGCAACCGCGACAGTGACAACCACTGCGGGTAAGGGCAAGGGTAAGGCGGAGGATGGAGAGGTGTCGGCTGCTGCGGGTTCGCTGGCCGCGAGGCGTGAGGGCCAGTCCGCGGCGGCTGCTGCGGCGGAGGGAAGGCAGACCGCGCTCGCACCCGCTCATCCTGCGATTACCGCGGGACATCTGCACAGCGCGCTGGCATCTGCAGGTCCTAGCGCGGCCGCGGTCGAGGCCAAGACGGAAAAACGCGGGCGAGGCAAGAAGTTGCCCCCTCCACCCCTGTACACCATCGACGGTGACGATGCGGACGAAGAGCTCAAGAATCTTGCGAGCCGGTGGGTCTTGGAGGAGGGCGACGGAGGAAAGCAGGGTGTGGAGGCCGCGGTCGAGCTTCCTAGCGGCGGGGAGAGCGCGGACGAGCAGGACGCAGAACCCGTGGTCATGCTAAGTGGCACAACGGGGGGACAGGGTGACACAGGCAGCAAGCGCAAAGGCTGTAGTATCCGCAATCCTCCCAGGGGCGGTCCTGGCTTGGTTTCTGAACCGCATCTGGGGGGGAAGAAGCGGTGGCTTGGACACGGCGAGCGCGACGACCTGCAGTACAAGACCGCGGTCGCGATGATGCCGTACGACCTGAAGGTGGATCCCGGGCTGCACCTCAGCTCTAAGCAGCTGCGGGAGTGGGCCGCGGACCTGTCCGCTGCCGAGGGGCTACACACGGGCCTCCTCATCACCATGCATCACCGCAACCTCGTGGCCAGCAGGGAAAGGTGAGCGGTGCCATACCACATTCATCTAGCGCGTTCATACGGTCGTGTATGTTGGGGGTGGGGGGTTGGTTTATCGTGTTCTGGCCGCTACACCCACTGCGTGGCAGGTGGACCCGCATGTTCAATCACTACCGCGAGCTGACCCAGCCTGGATCGATCACCACCAACGAGATTGCATGGGCCGTGGTGGTGGGCACGGAGGTTGCAGCTGAAGAGACGGAGCTCTACTGCGATGTGGATCCGAGGGATTACGCGGGAGCGATCGCGTGCGCGATCGCAACGCTGTGGGAAGTGACTCGCGGTTCTGCGGTCTCGACCGCGTCGGATTCTGGCAATTTGGCCGCGCGAGCGGTTAACTGCCAGAGGGATCGATGCCCTCGGTTCCCCGTAGTAACCGCGTACGTCATTAGGGCTGTGCGGAGGCGCAATGCTCGCGAGCAGCAGGCTAGAGACGACGAGCCTAAGGTGGTCGCGGATCCGAAGGTGGTCGCGGACGCGATTGTATCTGAAGTCGTGAACGAGGTCATCGCCAAGTCTCGCGATCTCAGGCAAATTGAGATGGCCGCTCGCAAAACGGTGGACGTTATCATCACCTGGTGCGACTGCTCGGTTGCAGGGAAGGTCATGGAGTCCATTGGGCTTTACCTTGCCCTGCCCAAGGATCGTCCTAAGAAGCGGACTTGAGTGCGTGTAGTGTCGCGTAGCGTGTGCGCATCTGTCCACCCTGCTTGAGTTCTACTCGCGGTGGATTGTGCTGGGCGTGCGGACTTGTGTGCATGTAGTATATCGTGTGTGTGTGTGAGTGTATTAGCGTGAGATCATAGTGTTGACATTTGGAACAATATGTGCTTGAATACTGAATCATGACTATCGCGGATGGGTACCGCACAACACAAGCTCGTCCAGCCTACTCCTGGTTCATACTTAATCGATATAGCCGCAGGCTGGCAACGCGACCGTGTCTCATCGCGTGACTCCCCCTCGAGAAAGTCAGCATCACGCACTTTTCGAACGCGATTCAATGGGAAATACACACATTTCGTACGATGAACATTCAGAAACCATCAGTCTATACTCGCCTACATTACAAACACAGACGCGATGTGAACAACCTGACATACTATGTCCAGCGATCGCGATATCACGCATTAAGCTAGCGGGGGCATCTGGGCACAGTACTTAGGCCACGCGGCTGGAAACTCTGACGCGGGAAGAGAGGCATCGATGAGGCGGTCGCGTACAAGCATCCATTTCACACGCAACTGCACCTCCGCCGGGGAACCCTTCTTCAGCTCGCTCAGGTTCAAGTCAACACTCTTCTTCTTCACCGCGATCCCTTCCGACACACCCGACATTCCCACAGTTCGAGACACGAGGTCAAGCTTGTCGAGCACGACCGCGATGTTGTCTCCCTGCTCCACCTTGCGGGAGATGAAGTCCATGACTCGCTTTACACGGTTTATCGCGTTCTGGGTGGAGTTCTGGCCGCCTCCCTCCTTCCCAATGAGTTCGGCCATTCGCGTAACTGCACCGCGGGGTTGGGCCAGGAGCGACTCTGGACTCTCGCCTACCAGCGCGTGCGTGGACTTGTACAGCTTCCATCCGTCCGACGGCTTGGTCGCGTTGACCCACGGTTTCATGATCGCGTCCCGAATTGTCTCTTCCCTGGTCGGCTGTGCGGGTTCTTTACGCGTTCCGTGGTCGGTGGGGGTTGCGGCATTGGTAGGCGCGGCCGTGGCTCCTGGAGTGTTTGCCGGACTCGGCTCCGCGGTCGGCCCTGAGCTGCTCACGGTGAGACGCGACAGCTGGGCCTCCAGATCATTCACGCGCTCGTCCTTCGCGGCCAGCTCCCGACCGCGTTCCTCCAGCAGCCCCTCCAACTCTTTCACTCGTCTATGGGCCGCGGCCAACTCTACGCCCAGCCTGGTGTTGTCCGCTTGCGAACAAGTCAGATACTCAGTGAGGACGGTCACCTGGTTCTGCGCGTCCATTTTGGTACTGACCTCCTGCATTTACAGAACGCGAACGCGATATTGTGATGGGTACGCATAGACATTACAGCCGAATTAGTAACGCGACCATGCAGTACGCATCGCGGGCTGGGTCAGTGTAGGTGTGTTACGCTCTACTATGGCCAGCTGATTTGCCAAGGAGACATCTGCTGCCCACCGCGCAAATTCCTCTGTCTGGCAGAGCGGGTTGTTGACCAGGTACGGGTGTCGCGGCTGGTGGATGTAATACATGGCCAGGTCTTGCGCGACCGCCATTCTAGCCTCCCCATTCAGCTCCTTCAGTATGTTTAGACCCGCGGTGTCCTGCTTCTCCGCCTTGTCCTCGCTGACCATCTTCCGGTTGTAATCATGGCACTGTGCAACACAACAACGCGATAGTTAGCGCGGAGCCAGAGGGTTATGTGGAATGATCGCGGTCTTTTGCTACTACTGTGCGCGGCCCACACATACCTGTTTCTGTCCTTTGTCCGGTGCGGCCCAGGGGAAAATGTGCTTCCTCAATAGCTTCTCCAGCTCCTCGCTCACCGGAACAGTTGCGCGACCCAGGAAGTAGTCACCATCAACCCCTGTGAAGCCAGCCTTCAGGAGCACGGCCTCCCTCGGAATAGTTGTGAGGTAGTCCAATCTAAGTGTCTCACTGCCGAGATGTAGTTGAGCGAGAAGTCCTTGTTTGTCTTGCCCGTCCTGCACGCGCAGACAAACGCGAACGCATTCCGCACTGGATCCGTCTCGGATTTTGCGCCGAGCTTCCACATCATCATGTCTGGAAGCTGGAGGTTTCTGATCGTGCACCCGCGGGCTAGTGTGTGATGACCGAGGACGGTCATCGTCCGGATGCACAGGTCGCGATGCATTGCCTGCGTGTACTGTTGCTTGGCTAGTGTGAAGCTGCTCAATATGGCGGCCATGATGGTCTTCCGCATCATCTTCTTGAACTCGTCCGGGTTGTACGTGTCCGCGGCCGTGCCCCGATGGCGATCCATGTGTTCCCTGCGCAACCAGTTGGACGATGGTGAGCATGTTAGTGAACGCGGTTTTGTTGGACATACGCGTTCACTGAGTACGTATACTTACGCGATAAACCGCTTGTACTGGTCGCGTACTTGAACGCGGACCCAGATGCGACACTCCGCAAAGTCGCGCAGGAGGTTCAGAACGGGCTTCCTGAAGATCGCCCCGTCCAGCTTGATGAGCAGGTTCAAAGCCTTGAGACGCCCCATCAGCATTGCAGGGGAGCACTAGCGTCTCTTCTTCAAGGTCTTGTCGGGCCGCTTGAGTGTGGCCATCCTGTCCGCCTGCACGACCGTCTCGTTCGCGAGGAAGGTCACGTATTTGCGTAAGCGCCACGGATTCGTCTCATGCCCTCCGCCACCCATGTTCTGCTCGAGCGCGGCCCCGATCTCGTCGGGGTTCGCGTTTTTTAGCGAGGCCTCCTCACCGAACCTACTCGCGTCCAGTTTCGGCAGCTCGTGTGCCATGAAGATCTTGTACTATCTGGCCCATCCGCGATACTTCTTCAGCGTGGCCTCAGAGACACCGTAGAGGATGCCCATGCACATCTCTCTTTTTGCGGCCGGCGTGTCGTCCACACCAAGCCTGTTCCAATCCGCGATGGGGACCTCCAAGTCCGTTCGCGTACCCCTCACTCGTTCGTTGTCTTCCGCCTACTCCTCGTTGAGCACGGACAGCGAGTTCCTCAGGTAGTTTTCGTCATCGTCATTCTAACTGTCGTCCGCATCGTCAGCGTCGTCCTCGTCATCCTCATCGCTTTGCCCCTCGCTCCCCTCCCTCGATCCGTTGCGTGCCGTGTGAGGCACGACTTCGACTCGCCGCCTCCTTATACGCGGTCTACTGACTGGCCCGTTCCCGGTACCTCCGGTCGCGTTAACACCGTTACCTCTGCCTCCGTTGCCTGTCACCCCAGGCGCTCTCCACCCGTTCGCACTACCTCCGTTCCGTCCCACACCGGTCCCACGTCCCGCGCTCGCTCTCCCACCCCTTCCGCTCGCACCTCTCCCACTCTCACCTGTCCCTCTTCCCGCGTTCCCTCTCGCACCAGTCCATCTTCCTCTTCCCGCGTTTCCCCTTGCACCGGTCCCTCTTCCTCTTCCCGCGTTTCCTCCTGCACACGCTCCACGTCCCGCGTTCCCCGGCAACAGTGAGTTCACGTTCCATATTGGCGGCGAATGTGCACGGCGCTTGCATTCATCCCCGCTCCACCATCGGTAACCGCGTTTGATGATGGCCCATCTGTTTGCGCCAGTGTGTCCACACCGACCACCAGTGGCCCTCTCGGGTCTGGAGGGGCTTGCACCGTTGGCTGGCTTTCCGGATGGATCGCGCTGGGGAATGGAGTTGACGGCGCAACTGGAGGCGTCGCGACGGATGCGGGTGCGTGCACCATGGGGTCTGGTAGAATGCCGATGTACCCGTACCAGAATCCCACATTCGCGTACTGCGGCCCTACGAAGCCACGCACAGGCATCCCAAAAACCTGGCTTGTCGGCATGGACGGGGATGCAATGTGGTGTCCATCTATCTGTGGTCCGGGATGAGGCGTGGATATTCCATGCGCGGTCAGATCATCCTGCTGATTCTGAAATGCGACCGTTGCTGCCGCAAACGGAATGTGTGACCGCGGTGCTAGGTGGACCCCGTTGACCAGTTGCTGTGGGTGGAACGCGGGCATTCGCGCCCCTAAAACCACGGGCTGCACGTATGGGGTGCTCCACGTGGGGTTGAGCGCGTGCACCCCTTGCGCGGGAGGGGCAGGCGGTTCGGCATGATGGATTTGCTGCGCGGTTGTGTTCCCAGTAGCATTGATTGTCTCGTGAAGTACACTGAACAAAAAAATTGTCCTTTTGTTTTCGTAATCTACGTTAAACGACGCTTAAGTGGCTATGCACGAGAGCTTTTGTGTTTCTTTACCGTGCATGTATCGCGTCACGGTGTTACCAGTTTGTGTTGGTAACCACTAGCCCCCATTCCCGCGATATCTCTCAGCAGTGCAATTTCCCTCTCGACACCCCACACGGACAGTTTCTTACAAAACCCCCCGAGCGTCATTTCGTTAGTAGTTAGTTCTTCTCTAGTTAGGTTTTTAGCACATCTCGACCTCTGTCGACGCCCCACGCGTAGCGGAACGACCCCCGCAGCATGAAGCGCCTTAGTGTCGAGAAACAGAGGCAGATCATGACGCGTATTGCAGAGGGGCGAAGTTATCGTAGTATCGCGAAAGAGTTAGGCGTATCAAAATCCGCCGTCCACGACGAGCTCCTACGCCACCTCGGCAAGAATAAATACGAGGAATTAGTACCTTCCCCGGCGAAACCAGGTCGTCCGCGCAAGCTGCCAGAGAAAATCGAGCGGATAGTTGTTAGATCGATAGTTTGTGGCGAGTCGAAATCCGCCGAGGCGGCCGCGGGAATGCTAGCTTCGACTCACGGCATTAGCGTCACTGGCGCGACCGTTCGAAACACTCTCAAGCGGCATAGCGTTAAGGCGATAGAGAAGCCCTCGAAGCCTCGTTTATCCGAGAAAAACGTTAAGGACCGGCGGCAGTGGGCCAAGGACCATCAACATTGGACGTTAAGTACTAGATGCTGAGGCGTATGACTGTAAAACTGGTTTTCGAAAAAAATGTCCAAGTGGTACTATTTGCTTATTTCTGTA